CCGCAGGGGTCAAAAAGCCTCTTGGATCACTCCAGGATCCTACTAGTTATCCAAGTTAGAAGTAACTTTGTTGGCTCCAAAAAGACTCCTCCTCCTTCCACTTATCCTCCATGACCACACACCAGTATATAAGCTTATTGACTCATACATATATATATGGACCATGCAATGAGAACACAAGAAATCCTCCATAGTGTAATACTGCTTCTTACATTTATTTGTAAGCATAAAACGCCAAGTGCACACTCACTTTTAGCTGGAAGTTTACAAAGCATTATAGACACAATCCATGGGTGTACTGCTGGGTCTCTGGAGTACCAAGATGGCGCCGGACCGGAAGTACCTGTAAGTAAGCTGTGCATGCTGTTTTGAGTTCCACATGGTCAAAATTGTTCTACTTGTGGACATTTATCACTATTTATTACCAGTGTGTGTTGCAAGCACTATACTAAAGATATTATTTGCACGTATATTATAATCACTTATACAGTGATATATATTTCACCATAAGGAATCACTGAGTGTTATAATCACCGAATATTTTATTTGCTTATTTGTATAAATATTTTAATTGGTTCACAATAAGGTTAAGCACTTTTGGACGTTGTAAAGAAAGCCGACGATCCCTGCAGGATGGATTGGATCTGCGGATTGAGGAGCATAATTAATCGGAGTCCGATCCTTTATGCTCAATCCGCAGATCCGATCCATTCTGGTTTGTCGGAGGGGGTGTCACCAAGTGTTATCACACCGGGTGACACCAACCCTAGAGACGCCCCTGGGACACAGACATCCAAACATCTACAAGTGCCGAATGGTGACGATTCCAGCAGTGGAGGCTTGCAAAAGAGTGAAGATTGGATTAACCAGCGGCAGTACGTGTAATAATATTAAAGCCCAACTGAACTGTAAGTAAAATCAGCAAAATACATTCCAAATACATTAAATTAAACAAAAACATACAAAATCCTACTATTCACTTTCTTTAGAAAGCAACCATATCTAATGTAGAAAAGCCTGTCCCATGCAGAGTTCCAACATGCCCCTCCTAAGTCAGACTTACAGCTCTTTAATCAGCAAAGCTGATGAGCCTTCCCTATTTGCAGAGTTATCCTGACTTAGGGAGGGGGAAGGGTGTCAGACCTTTGCAGAGAGACCACTGCTTCCAAAACAAAAAGCATGGATCCTATCCTAAGGAATGCTGGCAGGACATAGGTTTTTCTAATTAGGCTGTGGCTGCTTTCAATAGGAAACGAACTGTAGACATAGTATAAAGCACCTAGAATAAATTTAGATGATTTCAATTGAAAATGTGGGCTTTAGCGTACTTTATTGGCTGCCTTATTTTTTTATTTATTTATTTATTTTAGCAACGGAGCTGCTTTAATTACTACTAAATTATTAACCACACATTCGAAGATCAAAAGGCTGGTAATGGGCTGCATTAGAGCCTGCTCATTTATACAGGGCCCCACAGGCGGTTAAGAGGGTTAACGAAGCAGAGAAATGCAATATCCACCTTTACGAAGCCCACGTAGAAAAAATGACGTTCCTTCAATTGCCATTGATTGCTTCCTCTTACAGCGTGGCGAATCTGGCTGATGGAGCGCAGCAACTGATCATCTTCTGCGGCCTCAGCATCCGAGATCAATGCTTTTTTGCTGAGGTCCAATTAACCCCTTCATTCCAAGGTCACTTGCAAAAAAAAAAAAACAGCCATAATTACAGAGGAAAAGAAGCCTTCACATCAAGTCTGGGAAAATGAGAAACATGAGGTTTTCTTATTATACCAAACAACAAAATTGAAGAAAGAGGAGGTCATAAAGCAAAGCCTAGTAGGCCAATCGGTAGTCAGTGATCACAGATTCTATGTAGGCATAGCTCGGTCCCTCTCTATGGTCAGGCAGTCCATGGTTAAGTTCTGTGTAAATTCAGTTTCCCGGAACAAGTCCTTGGCTTGTACATTCTGTCCCTTCAGCAGCTTTGTAGATGAATATTGTATGAGGGCAGGACTGCTGGTTCATCTCTACAGTATGTGCTGCCTGAAGAGCTGGCACTCTACATGTGCAGTGTTATCCCACCATTATGTGGATCTGTGCCTGAGCTGAATGATGGGGATTTCCAGTTTACATAGACAGCAATAATTATTTCTGGAGTGTAACAAAGGAGATGATCCTCAGTCCTACAGCCTGTTTGGAAGACAGACAGAGATCATTGTCCTGTTATTTCATTTACTGCTGATGTTAAATATACCCTCACTGGTGACTTTATTAGGTACACCTGTTCAATTGCTTGGTAACACAAATGGCTAATCAGCCAATCACATGGCAGCAACTCATTGCATTTAGGCATCTAAATGTGGTGGAGATGACTTGCTGAAGTTCAAACTGAGCAACAGAATGGGGAAGAAAGGGGTTTAAAGTGTTACTAAACCCAGGACCCTGCATTCACTATATCTGATCTCTCACAGTACACAGAACATGGAAGTGCAATTATTTTAGTAAATATAAACCTCTAAATACCTATTCTCATCACCAGGATATATCAGTCTTGTGACTTCTATCAGTGTCCAGCAGAGCACATGTTAAAGCGTGTAGGAGGAGTTTTCATTCTGCTCTAGGAGAATGCAGAGCCCCTGACCTCTGCCTGGCCTGTGCTGATCACATGCACTCTCCCAAGAAAAAAATACAAACCTTTCTAGCAATACACACCAAACTGAGCATGTGCAGAATGACTCCACACAATATGTGTTATCAGGAGATAAGAGGGGGACACTGGAAGAATGGGAGGACCGGAAAAGTCAGGATCAAACAGCCTTTTTACACAATGCAGAGGATTAACCCCTAAGGTTCCACAGTCAGTATAACAAGCATGCTTTACTGCATATACAGACTGATTTTACTGCTGTGGGTTTAGTAACACTTTAAGTGACTTTGAACATGGCATGGTTGTTGGTGCCAGACGGGCTGGTCTGAGTATTTAAAAAACTGCTGATCTACTGGAATATTCACACACAATCCTCTCTAGAGAATGGTCTAAAAAAGAGAAAATATCCAGTGAGCTGCAGTTGTGTGGACGAAAATGCCTTGTTGATGTCAGAAGTTAGAGGAGAATGTGCCGACTGGTTGCTTCAACATTTAGATGGTAGGGTCAGAATTTGGTGTAAACAACATGAAAGCATGGATCCATCTTGCTTGTATCAAGGGTTCAGGCTGGTGGTGGTGTAGTGGTGTCGGGGATATTTTCTTGGCACCACTAAGTGTACCTAATAAAGTGGCCGGTGAGTGTATAAAACACTAAGGGCTTGTTCATCCGAACTTTGATCTCTGAAGAGCGATCCACATTCGGATTACAAGTTAATTATTAATTGATTAAAAATTCGTTTTAGCTCAGATTTGGGCTGTTGTGTGTGGAAAGAAGCAAGAGAAAACCTGCAATAGAGATGCAAATAAGAAAAAAATTGACAGGAGTTCCAGCCTTCTGCTTCTCTGAATTAAATAAAAGAAACTGCCCCTCCAAAACAAACATACCACCTTGAAAATCATCTCCAGGGAGAAAAGGATTAATGATATATAATTGAATTCTAAAAAAGTTAATTAAGCCCCACCATACACCCTCGAACCCCTCGTGTATCGCACTGTCTTGTACTGTCTCATGTATTGTCTCCCATTGTAATGAACAGTGCTGAGCGAACTGTTGGCGCTATATAAATACTGTATAATAATAAATACTGTATAATATAATAATAATACACCAAGCACCATCCTTTGTCATTTAAAGCCTGCTTTGTGCAAGGATATTGCACAGAGCCATATCTTACCTATTTTCTGTAGTCCCCCACGGTGCTCTCCAATTCATCTTCCTGCCGGTGCCCCCATAGCTACCTGTGTGCTATGGGGGCACCCATATGAGCCTGCTCCCAAGCCGTGTGGAGTTTGTCAATAGACACACACAGTGCGGCTTGGCCATGCCTGGAATTTGACTGACAGCAGCAGAATCATATAGCTCCCGCTGCTGCCTGAGTCTTCTGTAAGGCCATGAAGTCCTTGGAGTGGTGCTGTGGACAAGGCCAACTCTGGATCATGAGAGGAGCCAGGTAAGTGTTTAGGGACGTTGGTGTATGTGAGCTTGTGGAATGGTTTTTACTTTAATGCATTAAAGAAAAATATGTTTTGCCTTTAGAAGCACTTTAATTTACTGGACAGTAGAGGCTGTGGCATTTGACATCTGAATGTCATAGGGTCATACTTAGTACCAGAAGTCATCAGGACTTTTAGCACCCACCGCACTGCATTAGTTAAATATTCATTTTCTCTAGGGGGATCCTCTTATTGGTGGCTCCCTCAGATCTTTTCATGCTCAACTGATCCCCTGAAGCGGCCTCTACACAGAGTACAAGAAGATATCACTATCAATAATCAGCACAGCACAGTTCAGTCTAGTGGAAACACAATTACTTGCTGTTCCCGGGGGATAACACCTCTCTCACAAGGAGACTGCCTGTAGCTGGTAGCGCAGATGATCAGCCACAGGGATCTCCAGACAGACTCCACAGAGAGGAGACAGAAAGATTCCCTAGTCTGGATGTCAAGGGAGTGTCAGAGGTCCAGGTATTTTTAGGAGTCACCAGAACACAAAGTGAAGTGAAATGACAGCATGAAAATGACAGCTTTAGAAAATTAACAGAGGTTCTAACTCCTCCCTTCTACAAATAAAAAAAAACCCTATCATTTTAAAGTGTTACTAAACCACAAAAGTAAACTCAGTCTGTATATGCAGTAAAGCATGCTTGTTATACTCACTGTGGAACTTAAGGGGTTAATCCTCTGCATTGCGTAAAAACACTTTTGATCCTGTTGTCTCTGATCCTCCCCCTGTTATCTCATGATAAGACATATTGTGTGGAGTCACTCTGCACATGCTCAGTTTGGTGTGTGTTTTTTTTTCTTCTGAGAGTGCATGTGATCAGCACAGGGCCAATCAGCGCTGTCCAGACAGAGGTCAGGGGTTCTGCATCCACCTAGAGCAAAATGAAAACTCCTCCTACAAGCTTTAATATGTGCTCTGCTGGACACTGATAGACGTCACAAGACTGATATATACTGCTGATGAGAAAAGGTATTTAGCAGTTTATATTTACTAAAATAATTGCACTTCCATGTTCTGTGTGCTGTTGGAGATCCAATATAGTGAATGCAGGGTCCTGGGTTTAGTAACACTTTAAGTGCATTGGTCTGACCATCAGACTGTCCTAAAGGCATGAAAAAACTGGTGATATAGGACTGCTCCTAAAAGGTTTCATGCCTATAGTCCTTCTACAACTATCACAGTGGAGGAAAAAACTAGCAAGTGTTGCCGAAAAATGTAATGCATGCAGGTAAAATTAGTTCACAGTAAAGTATGTGGAACTATGGCTGCCAATTAAAAAAAATGAACTGCAGCCCTAACGTATAGGTGCATCTGCACTTACTGTTTCTCTTAGTTCCCCTGCAAAGTCCCACATATACCTGTTGATCCTGCCAATGAAGTCAGCCTGTGGGCGGGGTTTAAGACACCTTAGTGGGGGAACCGTGGAATTACACTTGATGATGCCTAAACCATAGGCAGGAGCCACGGTCATGTGAAAACAACATTAAGGCTATACTCCAGACTTAGAAGTGAGCAGTACACTTGCATAGTTAACTCTTTGTAATCCACAGCCATACTCTTACACTGTTGAAACTAAAACACTTCTGTCTGAGAACAGCTCTCCCTAGGTGTGCAGCATTTCTGAGATGGTAGTGCAGAGCATGTACTGGTCTCCACCAACTCAGCAAACCTGTCACCTCACTCCCAGTGACAATGTTCTGTATGTTACTAATGGGTGCAGGAAACATATTTCTCCATAACTCCATGGTTGTTCACCGCCTGGGGCCCCTATCAGGGGCGTACTGACAACTCATGGGGCCCCCTGGGCAATAGGGGACCATGGGGTCCCTGTGTCCTTGCCCAAACTCAAAAAAGCCTATGAAAAAGGTACCAGGGGCATCTCATGGGGCCCCCTACTGACCCCAGACCCTCAGGCAGTGCCTGAGTTTCCAAATGGTAACTCCGCTCCTGGCCTCTACTATATCTCTCTTTTTTACTCCAGCTAGGTCCCTAGGTACTTTGTGCAGTAAGACAGGTCCCGGCATGTAGGGAACCAGTCGCTAGTGAAGGGGGCAAACATAACACCCTTTCACTATCAGAGTATCCATCACCCTTGCCATATCACCAGTTTCCTGGCTGGTTGGCTGCTTTAGCAAGTTACACAAATATGGTAGTAATTAGCAACAGCAATATAGCTTCCTCTGGACAGCATTCTACTCGTTAGATGTCTGTACTGTATCTTCTCTAATCTCTCCAGTCCCCTTGTTGTAGGCCTTGTTCTTTTGATACTCTTATATGCACCCCTTTAGAGACCTAAGACCGGGCAATTTAGATGAACAATAAAGATCTTTTACTGAGTTAGTTGCATGCAAGAAGAAAACAGTTCTCAGGGACAGCTTCTGTACACTTTCCTGTACAAAGCTCCCTTGTGCCCGAAAGTAGAGATAGTCATACCTTAGACAGGTGGCTAAATCCATAAAGAGTTCTTCTCTAGGCAAGAGTCCAAAATAGGCACAAGAGGTAGCAAAAATCCATAACGGAGTCCAGTTAAGGTAGTACAAGTCCATGTAAGGTCATAGGCACCAGAACTTACTGGGAGCCCCAACTGGCCTCCCCCAGGTGGGAGTTTTACAGTACATATAGGTCAGATAATTCTTAGACAATAAATGATGGACATTTGGGTTTATATATAAGGCACCTTTTTGTGAAATATGTTCTTTTACAGCATTTTTTTTATTTCTTCTATTTATAAAAGCTTGTTTCATAGTTTTGTTTACCAGGGAAACATTATCCACCCACCCCTTTTCCAATCCCCAATCTGCTAATCATTTTTCAACCATTTTAGACTATTTTATCCATACCCTATTGAAATATGGCACATTTATGAAGAACTCTACAAGTTCATTGGCTACACTTAGGAGAACATCTCTATCTCCTCTATATTTGGCTTGTTTATTACAGTTCAGCTGAAGTGCTGCTTTTGTTTAACCAATAAACACAGCACTTTTTCTTCTATGACATTTTTAGTTGAAATTTTCAAAGACCGGTGACTTGTGTTTAATGATTAGATGTTTAAATCTACTCAAATATGGCAAAATATTAGATAAATGCAATAATTGAGCGCTTCAAATAATAGCAGCTATAGCATGTAAGGCAACCAAAACATAAACCTCATAAATATACATATAAAAAGTGCAGCGCTAAAAGGTATGTATTTCAATAAAATATGTTGTGATCAATATGTACTCCAGTCCAGATAAAAGTAATATAAGTATTAAAAGGATTAAAATAATGGCCATGCCTTTCTGATGAAGTGCTAGCGCACGAAACATGTTAAAGGGGCCTGCACGCCGTGACGTCCATTGCACATTGGTCAGTAATTGTTTTTACTTGCTTTTATCTACATTTGAATTGTTTACCACGTGGATTAATAAACGCCAAGTTTTTTTAAACTACCACACTGTTGGCTATTTCTTGCTGGCTCCTTGATGAGCCTAACATCCATTCCAGAGCCCAAGCATCAGGAGTCTGTAATACGTGACACCATTTCTAAGGATGACGCACGTCCTGATGTAAGCTGCCCAGTACCCTGTCCATTTCCTAGAGAGGGAGACAGCGGTTCGGCTGCTCTATACCCAGAGGAAGGAGAGTCCTCTAAGACGGTCCAGCTCGTCTATCCCATCCCATGAAGGGGACCTCTGGTTTATTTATCACATGCATATTAAAAATACGCATCTGGTGAGTGCATATTCTTACTATTTGTCACCAGACCACTGTATCGTGAAGTCACTAACAACTGTATTGATCACTTATCACGAACTGTCACCATTTTATTAATTTATTTTATTTTAATACGTATATTACTTTTATCTGGACTGGAGTACATATTGATCATAACATATTTTATTGGAGTACATACCTTTTGCACTTTTTATACGTATGGCAAAATATGGCTGGTGACTCTGATGAGTGGTGTACTAATAATTGGCATACACATTTTGGTATACCACATATCCCCTTATGGGAAGCAGAACAGCACACATTAGTGCAAAACAGCTTGATACCATTGGAGTGCATTAACTATACCAAGGATTGGCTGTACAAAATATTTACCAAGTAAGCAGAGGCTGCCGAAAAAAGTTTACATCTTAACTTCACGTTATTTAATTTTATATTTTCAGTACATTAATGCATGTCAATACTAAAATACATATCTGCCTTAATAAAAAAAAAAAACGTATTATATGTGTTTTTACTGCACAAATTATAGATGCACAGGGTAGCCAGGCTATATGCAAACTCTTATTAAATATTTATTGAGCTTTGGGGGGAATTAGTTAACATTTAAAGACATGACACTAGGGGGTTCATGGCAAATATTTCAAGCCACAAGAGGCAATCTTGTATTAGTGATTTTTTTCTTCTAAGAAAGCTTTATTAATGGTAAAAAAAGAATGAAACTCAGTGCAGCGTTGCGTGATGCTGTCATTTACTTCAAAGTATAACTGAAGGCACAACTGTTTTGTTACTTTTGGACAGAGTGGAGAGGAGTTAGATTTTAGAACAACTGTCAGTTGTTTTATTGCTGTCTGTGCCTCTGTTGGGGAGATTCACCCTCTCTATTTGTCCTGTTTACTGTTATCACTGAGAGTGAAAGTGAAAGAAAATCTAAAATTTTAAGTTTTCAACCGAACAGGCCGAAAGGAGAAATCTTCCAAAGGGGCACTTGTTATGGTAACAATCAGGGGCTTTCTATTTTGATAACTAAAGAAAAGTACCACCAAAAATAGGCGGGGTCGCCTTATGGTAAGATCAAAGACTCACCTAATGATAAAGGTGTGGGTGTAAACCTGGCATAGTACAAAATACAAAAAAGTAGTAGTTGCAAGACGCATACTACCAAAGTAGGTAATAATTCACCCAAGCAATGTAGCTCACATGTAAAACCACATATTTATTAAACCCATTTCAGGGAAAAGAAGTGATATCTGTAGACAGTGAAAAGTGAAAAGCACACACCCACTAGATATGCAATTTAAAAACAATACAAAAATAGCAATCCGGATTGCAATGCGTTTTCCATAAAAAATGTCTGTAACGGAACTGACCCCAGACTGCGCTTGAGTACTTCTGTTAGAATACCGCTTCCCCGTCCAAAAACCGACAACAGACACCACAGCCACCATACAAGACTAGACAACACCAGCTTGAAGTAAACCAGGAGGTAGACTAGTTTTTTTTTTAAACACAGATACAAGATATATACACTCAGGGGACAATCCCCCCTCCCTGCATAATGACACAGGGGCGGGCAATCTACATTTAGTAAGAAGAGACACACAGGTATTCAAACTTTACACCAGCAGACAGTCCCATCAGGAGGGAGGGCTGCTGAAGACACCACTCCACTAAGCTAATACACATAACACTAAACAACCCCCCACCCCACCTATCTCCCAGACATATCTACACAGTCTGAGACAAAGCCCACATCCTGTACAGAGGTATGGCAGGGTTCCATGCTGCTAGTGGGAAATAGCTGGACAGGTGGCTGTGGTCAGTATTTGGCATGCCCCGCCTAATTACAAGCTACAAAGGGAAAAGTCACATTGCCCGGGGACCTGAGAGTAACTGGAGAACAGTTGTTTTGCAAGTGTACACGATGTACAGTTGCAAGAAAAAGTATGTGAACCCCTTGGGATTACGTGGAGTTTTGCATGAATTGGGCATAAAATGTGCTCTGAATGTCATCTAAGTCACAATAATAGAAAACACAGTCTGCTGAACATAATACTACACAAACATTAGATGTTGCCATGGTTTAATTGCACATAACATGTAAACATTCACAGTGCAGGGAGGAAAAAAGTATGTGAACACAGCGGACCTTAATAACTGGTTGACCCTCCTTTGGCAGCAATAACCTCAACCAAACGTTTCCAAGTTGCAGATCAGACCTGCACAACGATCTGGAGTCATTTTTGACCATCCTCTTCACAAAACTGTTTTAAGAGCAATCATTCTTGGGATGATGGTGTGAATCGCTCTCTTAAGGTCATGCCACAGCATTTCAATCGGGTTGAGGTCAGGACTCTGACTGGGCCACTCCAGAAGGCGTATTTTGTGCTGTTGCAGCCATTGTTTTGTTGAATTAAGTATGCTTTGGGTCCATTGTTCTGTTGCATCACCCATCCTCTGCGGAGCTTCAGTTGGCGGACAGAAATGGTCGTACGTTTTCCTGCAAAATGTCCGCCGACGCTCCGGACTCTCCAGTGACCAACCAGACTTTACCCCTAAGTGTAGACTGTCACGGGACACACCGCAGGACCGAGGGACAGGTAAGTGGCTGACATTTATTTTTCGACAGCGTGAGTGGAACTCCGCTTTAAGGGAGTCTATTCCACATTTTCACAGCTCTCGCTGTGAAGAAATCTTTCCGTGTTTGGAGATTAAATTTCTTTTCCTCCACTTCAAGGGAGAATGTCACAGCACACCGAGGATCACCAATATGGGTTCAAAAGTTTTAATGAACGATAACATAGTTACAGCAAGGCAATGTTTCGGAGTCTCGCAGGACCCCTTCATCAGGCATGTCACCATGTTTGCAGCACTTCAACACTGCAGCCTTCTCACTGTTCTAACACAGGTGCTGGTGTGAATAGACCCTAAGACTCCGTTCACACTAGTCATGCAACTTTGGGCACATAAAGTCGCATGACAAGTCACAGCCCATTGATTTCAATGGCACTCAATCCCACCTATGTGACTTAAAGTCGCAGCAACTTTGAAAAGGTTCCTGCACTACTTTGATGTGACTTTCTTGGGAGAGTGTAAAGTTGCACTCCAAATCGCACAACCTTGGAATCGCACTAGTGTGAATAGAGCCTAAAAGTAAACCTGTTGCTTTGCCTTCTCAACCATGCTGGCTCCAACTTATCTTCTTAAAGTGGAACTAAACTTTCGTAATCAACAGTAACCATTTTTAATCCTTATGCTGCTAGCCTTAGTAAATAGATAAAATAGTACTGTAGATTATAATTACTTGTTTTAAACTTTTTTTCCCTCAGTTTTCTTCAGTTTCTTCCTGGTTTCTGGCCTAGGTCAAATGATTTCACACATCCCCAGGGTCTTCATGAGCATTTTTTTCTTTCATCTAGAAAAAGGGCTTTCCAAGTCTTGTTCACCCTCCTGCCTGCATGCCTGTGCTAAGGGCATATTGATTCCAGATAGCAAAAGCTACATGATTTACCTTTCCTTACTCAAGGTGGCCAAGGCTAAAATTCTAAGGGGGAAGGAGGGTTCAAAGTGATTTCTCAAAAAAATAAAGCATGGATGGATGGGTGAGTTAGCTTTGAATAATAAAAATTAATTAAACTGTTACTAAACCCACAACAGTAAAATCAATCTGTATATGCAGTAAAGCATGCTCATTATACTCACTGTGGAACCTAAGGGGTTAAACCTCTGCATCGTGTAAAAAGGCTGTTTGATGCACTTCTCTGATACAGACTGAATCCGTAATGAATGCAATGCTCAGGGCGTGTTTGAGAGAGGTTTTTTTTTTCTTGGGAGAGTGCCTGAATCAGCACAGGGCCAGTGAGCATGTCCAGACACAGGGGTGTATTGCAACTATGGGGCCCCCGGACAATAGGGGATCATAGGGCTTTTCCTTGCCCAAACTCAAAAAAGCCTATGGGAGAGGGGATCTCATGGGGCCCCCTACTGACCCCGGGCCCTCGGGCAATGCCCGAGTTTCCAATGGTCAGCCGCCCCTGTCCCAGACAGAGGGTCAGGACCAGGGGCGGACTGACCATTCGAGCTCTCGCTCGAGCCCTGCCCAACGGCCCAGGGTCAGTAGGGGGCCCCATGAAATGCCCCTGGTACCTTTTTTATAGGCTTTTTTGAGTGTGGGCAAGGACACAGGGGCCCCATGATCCCCTATTGCCTGGGGGCCCCATTAGTTGTCAGTCCGCCCCTGGTCAGGACTTTCACATCCTCCTCTGGTCAGGACTTTCACATCCTCCTAGAGCAGAAAGAAAACTCCTCCTACAAGCTTTATCCAGTACTCTGCTGAAGTCACAAGACTGCTCTAACCGCTGATGAGAAACGGTATTTAGCAGTTTATATTTACTAAAATAATTGCATTCCATGCTGTGTGTACTATGGGAGACCAGATATAGTGAATGCAGGGTCCTGGGTTTAGTAACACTTTAAATAGTGTTTTTTGTTTGTGGTGCTCAGACACAGTTTAGTTTCCACTTTAAGCCTGCTTCATCCTGATGCCGTGCAGAATTTGCAGCGGTTTCTGTGCGAATTCCGCACCGCATCACAATCAATGCACCCCATTCATTTGAACAGCTGCACGTGTGTATGTTAACAACACCCCGAAATTGATCCGCAAAACGGGGTGCGATGTGCAGAATCGGATCACATGGGTTTGAACAGGAATGCGGTGCAGTTCCTGTGCAAATCACATGCGATATGCCGTACCGCACAAGTGTGAACCCAGGCTTAGGTACAGTAATCAGACAAGGTTTGTTAGGGGTGGAGTCCTTGAACCCCCGTTCCTATGAAGACTTGTTCCATGAACAAAAAAAGTGTTAGCTCAAATGGCAAATTGTTAACAAAATACACATATTAAGGTTTCAGAAAAGCTAAAACAATGTTTCCAGGTACAGGAAATGCAAAGTGCATATTGTGAAAGATTATTTGATTATGTGAGGATTGCAAAATTGACATGTCAAAGAATCAATTGTCTGATGGAAGATTGCCAGTCACATTGATTTTTCAGACAACATTTTTCTACAAAATATCACCTGTAGGAACAATCTTTCTTAGACAAATGAACATTCTAGGCTCACATTTTTCAGACCACTATATCATACAGTGAGTAGCCCTCGGCACATTGTCTCATGTCTATAGGTACCTTCATATGATGAACTATTGGAAATAATGCAATCATGGAAAGATCTATCGTTCCTTCAACACGTTCCATGCATGTTTATGTCCTGGTGTGTGTTTGCTGATGACTTGCTCTGCACTGACAGTTATAACAAATGGCTGAGCCTGGACTACGCCTAATTTGTGTGCTTAACAATCAGGATGATCTGGGCTGCTTGTCAAGATCTGCTTACTCATCCATATCCATTAATATCAATAGGGCATCATTTTAAAACTAATTAAAGAATACCTGAACTGACAGAAATATGGGGCTGTCATAATAAACCCCTTCTAAGAATACTTATTGCCTGGCTGTCTCTGGTTTCAATACTGACCACTGACCAGGAACAAAAATGTTGGTCAAGGGGTCAGAGTGAGGTCTGAACTGATCTGCATATTCCACATCTGTGCTTCCAAAGGCATAAACGCCTGAGCCACGCATCTGACATTTCAGAGGGAGAGGTCTGCAATGGCCAACTGTATATTCTTTTGCTACAATTTGCCTTTTTCTTAAACAGGGAAATTAGAAAGGCAGGCTCTGGTCAAAAGATCCAAAAAAAACCCCAAAAGTAATGGTCTTAATGTTACTAGTCGGCATTGGCACAATGATGATCCATGAAGCCTCGTTAAACACCAAACAATGCCTAACTGTTTTGTTTCATTATTTTTTGTAAATTAAATTAGTTCTAATGGCTGAAGGTCTTTTAACATTCATACATTCTAAGCATGAAGGTAAAAAAGTTCTGTGTGCAGCTCCTCTCCCAGCACCCCCTAATACTTTCCTGAGCCCAATCTCGATCCAGCGATGTGCACAATAGCAGGGGCTCTCCAGGCTCTCTCTCTGTTTATTGACTCAGAGACTGCAGCGCAAACCATTGGCTCCCACTGCTGCAAATTACAACCAGTGAAGAGAGAGGAGGGGGTGGGGTTGAGCCGTGCTCTGTGTGTCTATGGATACACAGAACTGTCTCAGGAGTGAGCATGCACAAGTGCCCCCATAGCAAGTGGCTTGCTATGGGGGTACTCAGCAGAAGGGAGGAGCCAGGAGTGCCATCAGGGGACCTGAGAAGAAGAGGATTGGGACTGCTCTGTGCAAAACCATTACACAAAGTAGGTACGTATGACTGTAAATGCTAAGTAAACCTTTTAAAAAAATAATAAATGCACATATTTTTGCAGAAACTAAATGTACATTTATTATTTTTATCACAGGAACCTGCAGAGTATTGCACCCATGATCAGTGGATTGTAGGTTCTTAGACTCTTCTTTCAGCTCCCTGCCCATACTAAGGTACAGGCTTTCAGTTGGAGAGCTGGAGGAAGTGTAAATAGACTACAAGTGTGCAGGGGTGGACTGAGAACTCATGGGGCCCTAGGGCAGTAAGTGATCCTCCTGCAAGTGTGGTTATCACCATTATCACCTAAATATGGGTGTGACATGTAACATGCTGCAAATGATGGAGTTAGCCTTTAAGTGCACTAAAGATGTTTTACAAACATTTTTCTGATTGGTTATTAAGTCTAGGTTCACACCTATGCAGGTTGCGTTTGAGCTATTTCTTCATTGCGTTTAGCATTTTTGCACTTGCGTTTTTGACACGTTTTGCGTTTCTTTTTTCATTTTTTTTGAATTTTTCTTGTTGCTAGGCAGATTTAAAATGCAAAACGCATCAAAAATGCAATACATTCTTTTCTGCAGCATTTACATTGAAGTCTATAGAACCAAAAATGCAATTTTAAAAGTTTAAAAGTCCCCGACCCTTTACAAAAAAAAACGCACCACGTGAAAATGCACAGGTGTGAATATGTCCTATAGGAAATCATGTTAAATGGACTGTACTATGTTTCTGCAAAATGCTACAGAAAACACTTAAGTGTGAACCTAGGGTAAGTCGTAGTACAACAGCAAATGAATTCTAAGAAACACAAATGCTATTACAAGGTACAATTTGGGTACAGTAGGTCAAACCTCAGTGTGAGGGGTAGGTTTCGGGTCCAGGCAAAGCCATCTGTAGTGTGGAAAACAAAGGTAATATAATAAAAGACTGTTTCCAACAGCATTATTTTAAGTCCAGCACTCTATCCCCATCATTCAATGTTAAGTTATTCTGAACAGGAACATACAACAGATTTCAGATGGTGGGCACCTTACATGCATGAGTGCCTAAACTTCTGCATCCTACCAGTGAAGAGCCCAGTTCTATTAATCTTCTCTTTTTTCCCTGTCTTTACATCTCTTCCTCACTCTGTAATCCTCCATAAACACAGTCTCTGCCTCCCCTTTTCCTTCTCTCTTTCTATAGAAACTTGCTGCAGTGTTGAATGTGTGCCAAGGAGATTGCAGCATTGTCTTGCAGCATGCTCGGGACCCTCCCTGATCCTGGAAGAACAGCTCAATTAAGCTTTATTCGCCAGCCTGATGGGTTCATGTCCCCCTCCCTATTGCATTACAGGATGCTGCGATTAACCCTCCTGGTATGCTGATGATGCCTGTCATCCGTCTCCATAGGGAGGGCAGCAGAGGGCTGTGCTATATGCTGCTTCTTCACATTGGATGGTACCAAGCACAAGACAGCAGAGTATTATGGAAGTCATTAGCACAGACTTGAACTTCATTCAGCATTTTATATTAGAACTTCTTGTTCAGAGTTACCAAGGGTGTAACCATAACCATAGCCAGTTCAGTCCCACATGGCCTTCAGGTACAAGGTGTTCTGAAGCATTCTTAATTTATTGGATTTGCTAGAGGATGTGGCCAATCCACATGTGTGTCTTAGGATTTAATATTTTATTTTGGATATTGCATGGAACGGTATAACCCCCTGTAGCGCTACCCCCGCAGGAGCCACTGATTATGTTGGGTCCTTCTATTCTTATCTTGGCCTTAAAAAAGTGCCTTAACACCACTGACACCTCGGATATACATGTTAGTAAAGACAAATTAGTTATTTTTGTTAATACCTTAGGGTCACCCTGAAATGAGACTTTTAGACCTTGTAGCAAAATGACAAAGTACAGTATATTGTTAGGTGGTTGTAAAGTAAGCAAGATATGACAGAGGAGAATTTTGCAGAATGAACAACACAGTAAGGCAGGGGTCTCTAAACTATGGCCCTCCAGGTGTTGAAGAACTGCAAGTCCCATGAGGCTATGCAAGACTCTGGCAGCCAAAGACAAGACTCCCAGAGACAGAGGCATGATGGGACTTGTAGTACTTAAACAGCTGGAGGGCCATAGTTTGGAGACCCCTGCACTAAGGAATCACTATAAACCACATGGCAAACTCAAATCACACCAGCATAAACTGCAGCTTTCATCACTATATGAGCTAAGAAAGGCAACCAAATGGGTACTAACACAGCTAGGGCTAAGTTGCCAATGGGCTCTTGGAATGCGAGAGCTAAGCCTAGGCCTTTGTGAGAGAGGATTGTCAATCTACTGAAAGCTGTGCTTAATCGTTTAGTAACTATGTACAGTCCTTAAACTTAGTCTTCTGCCAGCTACGTTGGAGCCCTTGAACACGTTGGCCTGCTAGAAGATGTAGAACATTTCTGCATTCAGTGTAACAGTCTTAGGAAACTATAGGTTCTGTGGAACACTGAAGTAGGATGGGGCCAAAGAAGGGGTTAACATACTGTGGTATATGTATAGATGTATACTTTGACAAACAAGGCTAATGGTGCTCAATAGTAAGCGGATGAAGAGCAATAGTGGAGGTATAGAGCAATAAATCTTCATAATGGATATGCACAAAGTTAGACCCACTCACCAGCTCCACTGTATCAATAGTAACTGACATGGAGGATCCCCTTTAAGATATGATAGATTCGAGGTGGCTTCCTGTGGTAATTGATGCATGATGACTTCTGTGGCACAGCAGAAGTCACTGGATGGGCCCTGAGCGGCAGCGGTAGATAGAAGCCATTGTGGACTCTAGGCTCTGGCTATCTGGTGGTGCAGATAGCAGGCCTCGGTGCAAAACTTGTCCACGGCAGACAGCTGCACCCACTTTGTCTCAGTCCAGTGGTCTGCATCTGATCGACCAGCCATCTGAAACCAATGCAGCACACAGTCACTATC